TTTGCCATCGATCAGTCTACTCTGTTCTCTTTTCTCTCCAACTGTGTCAATCAATACCTTCGTCTTTCTATAAGACAGATTGGCACGATCGTTTTTTTCCCTTCCTTTCTATAATGCGTATGTATACGTTTTTGTTCTTTGCTGGTACTTGCATCCAGAAAATGACTTTGAGCGACCTCTAGGACTGAATTTTAGGATCAAATTTCGCGAGCATATCTTTTTCTGTAGACTCCAAACTTAGTGTTTTTTAGTTCTACAGACTGAATGAAAGAAAAATAGTTGTGAAATTTTAAAAGCAGAAATATGAAAACTTTGTTCATTTTAACCTTTTATCAAAAAATCAATATTTTAAAGTTTTTTCATAGAAATGTAAAATTTAGCTTTTTTACTAGGTACCTCGATGAGCTTTATCCAACCTTAATCCAAACCTAAATCCAAACCCTAATCCAACCAAATTCTATTTTGGAATCTTTAGAAAAATTCGCAGACAATTATCTTCTATGTAAACGTCAAAAAGACGAAAGCTATGTTAGTAAATAATGCAATGGCAGTCCGAAACTATATTCCGCTTAAATATAAAAGCGAAAATATAAAATTCGTAAACAGTTTTAGATGTTTAGGGGTAATTTTAAATGTAAAATTAGGATGGAGAAATCATATTGAGAATAGACTTAAAATGGCGAGAAATGTGTTTCCTGCCATGAGAAAACTTTTTGCAGATATTCCTAAAAAGAAGTCAAACTACGAAGAAAATTTTTCTGTGCGTATGCCCTACCACACTTCGTGTGACTGATGTTTAACTAGATTTTTTACACTGAAATGCAACGAGTACAAATCGAACATACCTATTATACAGGACTTCGAATTGTTTACAGTTTATACGGGTATGAAGACATCACTACACTTGCTCTGTGCCGTGAATTTTCGTTAAGAGACTATGTATTTCGTTATTGGACAAAATTCATTAAACAGCTAGAAACTTCAATTGAAGCTGAAACATGCAACGTTTACTAAAAAGACGAAGGAGACGAGTAATGGCTTTTTGGCTGCTTTCTAATCATCGTGGAATTATCGTTGGATTCGATGAATCAACACGAACCGGAATGCGGTAGGGTACACCACGTCATCTCATTCATATTAATAGATGAATCGCTACCATATGCAATGCTGTACGATTGTGCGTGTATTTTAAAAATTTGTATGAAAAAACGTTACAATACCGATTCATTAAAAAAGAACGATGCAAGTACATTCTTAGACGATATAGCACTAGCAATCGATCGATTTCATCAACCAGATCACAAGCAACCGATGTGCCAAATACAAATAAAAGCTGATTATAAATGTTGTAATAGTATTTACTACATATTTAAATTTGTTGTAGTCAGTAAGTTACGTTATGTGTAACAAAATTTAGCGACTTTCATATTTCTTTTTTATATATTTCTTCAGGTCTCGATTCACGAGTCTTCTCAATTTCAATGTGGCTTTCTGTGAAAGAAACAGCAGGAAAACATTTTGGTCTTAGTGACTTTGGATTCATTCCAGAAATGGCTAAAATTAATTTTGAAATTGATGCAAGTAATGAATTTGGAGTTGATTATTTTCGGCCAGGATCGCAAAAGACCTACAGTGAGTGTCGAGTGTCGAATTTGGAAAAGAACGAGTGGTATCATGTGGCACTTGTTTATTCAGGTAAGTCATTCGAGAAAGGTGTTAACAAAGTCTCTGTACAAAATATCGGCTCGTTTTTACCCACTCGAAAAAATTCAGACGATTCAAAAACAGATGGATTAGAATCACAATTTCGTGTTCTGTCAAAATATGAGCTCAGAAACTCTTCAGCTCTTTCTGTTCAAAAGTTATGGTGAAGTCTTTGAAAGCCTCGAAAAGTTATGTCTTGACGACCAAAAACGGCTTTTCTGTAAACAATACTGCTCCATTTAGAAAGAAGCTAGGAAGAATCTCAGATGTTGGTATTGTAGAGCGGACTCTAGTCTAAAAATGTACCATTTAGTTTTTCTATACTGACGGACAAACGATTTAAGGTTTCGTTTTCCGGTAGGTTCATTTGAGCGAAAAAGCTTTTATTTGTAAAAAAGGCATTTTTCGAAAAACAGAAATTAAGAGGCGTGCCTTTTTATAGAAAAGTTCAAATGGCGCATTTTATAGAACAAAGCTCGTTCTACAAGCTCATGGAAGAATAAATACTGCAACTATCAGATTCGAAGCGCAGCACATAAAATCCAAAAAGGAGCCCAAAATTTTCCGCCCCAATAAATTTTCGAGCGTTTTGAAAATGTCTCCTCAACTTTTGAACAAATGTACTACAGAATTTCGGATCTCATATTCTACAAGAGCACGACAGTTTGATTGTAACCTATCTATTTTGACTCGTCCACAGTGGTTTTTAAATGGACAAAAACGAGCCCACATTTTGTCGAGAAGTTTTTTTAAAACCCGTTGAAATATTGTCACAGACTCTGTCGTTTTTGATACTTTTTTATCTGAATGCCATTTCAGCTGCAAGAGAAGTTATCGAATTCTATTGGAATGCTAAGAAAATGCACGAATTTAAACGTCGTGTTCGTCGAATCGATGCAGTTGAAATGGCACTGGATTTTCGTAATTGTAGTTTCGCAGATATTGGAATGTGGGAACGTCAGCTTTTACCGTTGGAAATTGAAGCATTGTACAATCAGAGAACTGCACTGGAGAAAGTTAATTTGGTTTCAAGTGTGTTGAAAGAGATAAAAACAGGTTTAGAATAGAAAAAGGTCAGTTTAAGAGGTATGTTTTGGTCGTTCAGTTTAAAATGAGACAAAGGAGAATTAGATGCTTAGGAAGAGCAAAAGTCAACTGAACCTCTATAGAAGTGAAGTCAACGTTAGGAAACAGAGGTGGGCAAGTTCGGACTTGGACTGGACTGAATGATTTTGGGGACTGGACTTGGATTGACTGCGGGCTGAGGAATTTTTGGTGGTGGACTGTGTTTCAAAAAAGAGGGCTGATTTCTGCAGACTGATTGAGAAAATGATGTAAGCTTAAAAGGGATCAGAAACGAAAACAAATAGATGAACTTGATTTCACAGTAATAAACGCAGTTTTAAGGTG